TAAAGCCCTGGGCTTATTTCCATTGTGGTCCTCTGTTAAATAAAAACAATGTATGGCTTCATAATACTAATGAAGAATAAAACAAACAGTCGCCACAGCGGTACGAACAGCCAACCTATCCAGCACAATGTCACTCCAGCCGCCAACCTATTCACACTCAAGTAACATAATTTAAAAGATCCTCACCCACCATGCAAAACTAATTATCCTCATCAAACAACCATCTTTTAATAGCTTTTTTGAACAACCTTAAATCTTTTATTTCCTTGATTGCTTTTGGTAGTTTGTTCCACATGATTGCACTTGTATATAAAAACATATTTTTCCCCACTAATCTTCTAAATTTAAATAAACAAATATTAAAATCCCAACTCCTAGTACTGTATGAATGCTGTTGCCTCACCATTTGAAAATAGTTCATCAAATAGCTAGGAACCACATTATTAAACATTTTACGTACCATTCCCAGTTTTAAAAAACACACTCTATTACTAACAGTTAACATACCTAATTTATTAAAAGACTCTTTGCTCAAATGTGCTCTAGGATGCATTTTTAAAATTATTCGTACTAATTTATTTTGTGCCTTTTGCAATTTCTCCTTCAAATTTTGTGAGCAGCTACTGTACCAAAATGACGTAGCATAATCAAAACCTGCTTAAAGAAAGTACTCTTTTTTTAATGTCATTTATTTATTTTATTTTCAGCTTAGTCCCTTTATTAACCAGGGGTTGCCACAGTAGAATGAACCATCAACTTATCAGCATATCTTTTACACAGCAGATGCCATTCCAGCTGCAACCCAACACTGAAAACACCCATACACTCTTGCATTCACACACATACACTAGGGCCAATTTAGCTTATTGAATTCACCTAAAGTGCATGTCTTCGGACTGTGGGGGAAACCGAAGCACCTGGAGGAAACCCACATGAACAAACTTACGTGCAGTGAATTGTGCAAAGTTGTCTGCTTTTTAAGTAGTTGGAGCATTTTAATAACTGGGACATAGCGCATACGAGTACGACAGTAAGTAATAACCGGTGATGATCTATATTTATAATAGGTGGGCATAGATAAATTTTTTTATCTAGATTATTCTCACTGTAATCTTGGAATTAATCAAGATTAAAATGGATCCTTTGAATCCTGCCGAAGGCTAAAAGTGGCTAAAAGTAAGTTTTTGAGAACGGGTTTCTCAAGCCAGGTGGCGCATTAGACCAGGGGCTCATCTACTGTTTCCAAAATGCATCACTAACTGCTTGAGAAACTGTTCTACTATGATAATTGGTGATGAAAATAAATGATGTTCTATATGATGTACTTATGTTAACTAACTGTTTATTCAGTTAAACATCAATTTTGAACTGTAGGCCTACATAAGCTCAAAACAGCGATTTTTGATTAACCTAATCCGACTATTCATTAGTCAGTAAGTCATTACTGAACTAAACTGAAATGGACTAAACAGAAGATGTAGAGTATGCATATTTTAGTGGAAATATTGAATTAAACACCGCAATCAAACTATTACCGTCATGTAGGACTTTTCAGCATACTTTCCGACAAGATCCACACACGCGGCTGTCAGTAAATGCAGAGGTTTTTTTCTTTCCATTTGGCGTGCATTATTAAATTCCATAACACTCTCACCAGTCCTTACTCCTTATTTGCTTTCTAATACCCCAGTTTGTCACGGGGGCATGAATGAAGTGTTCATTAGGGAAGGTGAAACTGCTGAATTGCAGTTAAAGTCACCCAAAATTACAGGAAACTCTTACATGAAAGCACTTCATGTAAACACCTTAATTACATTATTGTCTATTTAGTTAAATAAGTAGATTACAGATGTCAATGTAAGCATAGTCAGTAATTCTTCGAAGTAAGTGAAAGATCCAGAAGGGCATTTTGCTGATTTCATTCAGAAGGGCACTTTTTTGTCAGACGGCTCACCGGTTTGACTTTCATTCACCGTCATTCGTTTTATATTTAGCCCGGGCTCATTATGGAAACGTAGCCCGCGGACATTTCTGCGGACCACGAGATACGTCCCGGGAGGTACGTATTCGAGCGTTTTTTGTTTTCGCGGATCCACGAGAGGCCGATGTGTGCGCTTTTTCACGTCCCGGGCGCCTCTCAGGAGCGTGCGCCGTTCGCGCCCGCGCTGTTGTCGCGCGAAAAGCCGCCGGATCGGCCGCCCTCCTCTTCCTCCTCCTCCTCCTCTTTCCCTAAACCCATGCGACGGTTTGCAAAAGCCGTCCAGAAAAAAAAAAAAAAGCAAAAGACTTCGTCTTCGATTTCGACCGCGTTTTCGGATCCCGCAGCGTTCTCGCCCTTATTTTTCGGATTCTGTTTTTCATCTTACCTGATTTCTGGAACCGCTGTTCCCCGGACTCTATCTGAAACCGCTGTCGTCCCCGCGACCGGCTCCTCCTCCTCCTCCTGGGCCTCCGCTCCGCCGACGCAATGCTGTGAGCTAAGCGGACAAACTGGTTGCATCGGGAAAGCCTTCCACTCGAAGGCGAGCCGTCGGCCGGCGAGCGCGAAGAAGAGGAGCGGAGCGGCGCCACACCGCCCCGCAGCGTTCGCTCAAAAAAAACTAAACGCGGCCGCACGTACCTCCGGCCACGTAAATCGCGGCCTCCAGAAACGTCCGAGGGGCTACGTTTCCAGAATGAGCCTGGGTTGGTTTTATTTTACCAGAAAATTTTACTCCTATGAGTCTTTCTTTTAGACTCTCTGCCTAAGGGCACCCTCTAGTGTCAAGTATGAATGAAACAAATTTCATTTAAAAGTTTAGTGCTCCATAATGGCACTGGCATTTGATTGTTTATCACAGTATTATTTGTATTTAATTTAATATAAAATAACACAGCCAGCAATCCATGTATATTTCGACACCCCTAATTAACGCTATAAAAATTCCATTTAGAAAAAATCTGTATCATCATTAGCACCGGCATATTGCATCACTTCTATTCCTGTTATCTGTCTCCTGTTATCTCGCTCATTCTCCATTTCCATCCCACTCTGTCACTCCATCTCGTTCACACTGTATGGCATTATAGCCCAGGGCTCTTTCTGCGTGTTTTGTGTTGTGTTTGTAACGGTACAGAGAGTCCCATCTCATACACCAGAGATCTGCTGATGGAATACCAAAATCCATCTCCAAGCACCACCAGAGCGTCTCCTTTTCAGCAGGACAACCTGAACACACACAGGGGTATTTTTGGTCTGTCGGCGCGCATATATGTACAAAAAGCCCAGGTGACCTTGTCTGACTCACTTCCACGACACAAACCAACGTCACAATCTCTAAAATAGCAATAAGAGACACAACAGCAGAGCAAAAAAAGCAAGGGCATGAAATGTCAGGCCTCTAAAGGACACACATTGTTTTTTTTTTCTTCTTTTTTTTTGTAAAAATACCATGCATTGCCTGCAGTGATTCATTGTGTGGTGTTTTATCTCAGCGAGGCAGAGAGAGAAAGCCACTTATTGGTGCAATAAGGGCAGCGTCCGATAGCAGCTGACCATCCCATTCGTCCTCCCCCAATCCCTTCACCCATTGAGCCTCACAGCGACTGTGTCACAGCGCACTGATTTCACATGCTCCTCCTGCTCCTAATATGTGCAATGACAAGCATGTGTGAGTCGCGGCTTTGCTTTATATTGCGTGCTGTTTTCAGTTGGCCCCTTGCTCTCCTTTTTTTTCTCCATTTGATGCAGCTGCAAAACACAGACTGTTGTCCCCTATGATTTCACTTGGTTGTCCTCTGTTTATGAGGACGCATAACCCCATTTTGGTTATTCAACCCTTGCAAATGGCTTCCATTGGTGTAAAGCTAATGTAATTAGGTTGATTGAATAAACAGTGTTTTGTTACAGTGCAGACACTCAAGTGAAAATGATCATGGTTGATGTTGATTGGTCAGTTGCAACATTCCTCTGTTTATTTCTTGTCTATGATAACTGTTTATAATTTGTATTTTAACTAATGTTTCATATAAAAGTGGCCAAATTAAAGTTTATTGTATTTTCAATTATTCAAGACTTCTTGTTGACATTTTACCTTTATTCTACAGTACTGTGTATTTTCTCCTTAAACAGTCTTTCTATTTTGACTTCTGTGTAGACACACGCTGAGAAATATGTATGCAGTGGGTTCTGATTGGTCAGGACATATTAGGCTTTGTGATGTCATAAAAACAGGATGAATCTTGTTGTAATATTGTGAAATAACTAGTACTTTGCAACTAGTACTTTGCAAAACATTGATTGTGGCAGTACGTAGTGCTGTCGCCTCACAGCAAGAAGGTCACTGGGTTGCTGGTTCGAACCTCGGCTCAGTTGGTGTTCTTTGTGGAGTTTGCATGTTCTCCCTGCCTTTGCGTGGGTTTCCTTCGGGTGCTCCGGTTTCCCCCACAGTCCAAAGACATGCGGTACATGTGAATTGGGTAGGCTCAATTGTCTCTAGTGTGTGAATGTGTGTGTGGATGTTTCCCAGAGATGGGTTGCGGCTGGAAGGGCATCCGCTGCGTAAAAACTTGCTGGATAAGTTGGCGGTTTATTCCGCTGTGGCAACCCTGGATTAAGAAAGGGACTAAGCCGACAAGAAAATGAATAAATGGATAATTCTACATCCCTAATTCTACCCAAAACCTAAACCCAACTACTACCTTACTATTAATAAATGGGTAATTAGTAGTAGTAGTAGTAGTAATTATCTGTTATTAAGCTATTAGTGTTAATGGTTTATTAATATTGTGAATTGTTACCTAAACTGTTACCTTATTTTTTATTATTAAATTTTATCTATTATTATTTTAAATATTTGTTTATTTTTATAAGTGTAAACGTTCTAAGTAAATGTTTTGTGTAGACTATGTTTATAAAAAGTTTAATAAAAAACACAGTTCAAAAGAAGAAAAGCTGATTTAATCATTACTGTATAATGTACAGTGTAAGCTGACTCTTCTATGACCCTGTCTTTGTACAGTACACTTCAGCTCTGACGTATGACGGGGTCATGGTGATGGCAGAGGCCTTCAGGAACCTCCGCAGGCAGAAGGTGGACATCTCTCGCAGAGGCATCGCTGGAGACTGTCTGGCCAACCCCGCTGCCCCCTGGAACCAGGGCATCGACATGGAGCGCACGCTCAAACAGGTCACATTCACACACGTACAGTACACAGGCAGGAAAACATGTTTCAGTGGCAGCTGAAATAAACCTCAAATGGAAAAATGGAGCAGAATAGTAATCGACAAGCTGAAAAATGTGAAATGCCTAATTTTGAATTGATGGAAGGTGGAAAATGGCTGAGGAAATGGAAAGGTGTAATGGAGGAAACTATAAGGGTGAAAAGAACGAGAACCAAAGCAGGAAAGGGTGTCAGAAGACGATGGATAGAGACATAGTGAGAACTAGAGTGATTTCTCACACTTTTTTATTAAACCAAGATCATTTTTTAAGAAAGAACATAACACGGTTGAAATTAATAGAAGCTTGAGAGAAAAAAGACCTACAAATTTATAGTCATAATCAAGCTTAACCTAGAGGTGTCACGATTAAAATGAAATTTAATTTTTTATTTTATTTTGTTTATGTGCCACTCATCATTATAACCAATCACACACATTTTTGGTGAGCTTATGCCCAAGAAGAAGTGTTTAGATAAGTCACAATCTCAAACCTGGGTCCAAAATGAATGGGTTCTGCTAATTCAAAAAACAACAAACTGTGAAAGTAACATTATAGTCAAGGTAATATTAACCTTCTGGAGTCTGAGGTGATTTTAAGGCTCCTAAGATGTTTTGACATGCTCTGACATTTGTGCTTATTTCAGGTACTTATTACATAGTATTGGCCAACATGTATTTTTTATTTATTTATTTTTTTCGTATTAGGCACAAACTGTGCTACAATAATATGTGAGAAATATTAATGTACAAGCTTGCGTTTTTTTAGAAGGACAAAAAATACTATGCCTAGTTAGTAGGATTTGGAGAATTTTTTTTTTTTTTTTTTTTTGATAAAATTAGATTTAAAAAAAACACACTGAATGGGCCTGAACAAGATTCCTGAGTAACCAGTCTTGTAGGATAGAATATTTACTTCACAATTATGTAAAAATTATTTTGTTCTCTCATTCAAAGAAAACATTACAATGATTTACATTTTTTAAAATCTTTTTTGGGTCATCTCAGCTATACGCATGGGAGTGACAATGGTCATGAATAATTCACACCTGGAGAGACAAAAGACAATCCCCCACTGGAAAATCTGTTATTTACAAGATGTCTCTTTTTCCAAAACCAATTCTCCATGCAGCTATAGCATCAATTTTCACAATCAACAAAAAAAACCTATATGCTGTGTTCACACCAGACGCGGTACACACGGAAAAATCATACTATTCACGCTTAAATAGACGTGTGACCATGCACTGCCAAATAGACATTTTGAGTTTACTCGCTTTATTCGCTCGTCAAATTCACTTCATAATAGATGCAGATTCGCATCATGGGCAGGGCTTCTGTCTGCCCGGTGACTCTAGCTTAGTTGCTAAATGGCTAACATGGATTTTATTCAGAGCAAAGCTGTGTTTATTTGCTTTTACGAAGACTGAAAAACAGTATTGATTCGCGTCTTTGCATTGAGTTAACATGTAAATCACTCGCATTTGGCGCTTCGTTCGTGTCTGGTGTGAATGCAGCATTACACTCGCAAGCAGAAAAAAACGATGATATGCCGTTTCCCCAAGCACACATTTTTTATACAGGGTTTTCTATCAATCAAAAATAAAGAACAATATTACAATATCAACAGCAATATTACAAAGTATATGATTTTTGTTTTAATAAATCAACCCTACATTATAAAAAGAAACCTGTTTTTATGTGTAAAACAGCTTTTTTAATGTAAAATTTGTATTGGTTACAATTTAAAGTATTCATACTGCGGTTGGTTACATTTGAGTATTTCACATTAAAAAAAACAAGAGAGATATAATTAATGAGCTAATCACAAAAACTGCTCTTACAATTGTAAAATAAAATTAAAAAAAAGAATGTCAAGGGACAAATTTGGAAATTTAATGCAAAAGACCCTGCCCATCCTAACAGAACTAATATAAAACACAAAACAAAGTCTATGTTGAATAATTCACATTCAGAGCCCCTCACTATATACAGTACCTTGACTATACTGTCACAATAATCTGAAATAAGTACTTTATTTATTCATCTGGAATCAGGACGTTCATGTCAAACATGCAAAAATAACTGAGTCACCAGTGTTTTATCAGCAGCAAATTACTTAATTGCTTTTAATTACAGATAGATAAGAAGTAAATTTGAGTTTGTCTCTGCCTTGTTTTACTTGCTCTGTTGCTGCATCGGGCAGAATTCATCAGCCTTTTTGCTCATGTGTAATTAGGCCTGACATGAACTCAACCATTTATAGCATGACATCTCTCATGACTGTGCTTAGACTTTTAACTTTTGAGGCCTTTTTTAGGCGTTCTTTTTTTCGATTAGCCACAGTTTGAGAAACACTGGTGTGGGGTTGATATTTCCAGAAGAAAGCTGGTTAAAGTTCAGAAAAGCAAGTGGATGTGTAAATGAAGTGCTTTGCGGTGGTTGGATAAGCTATAATGACATTGTTTATCACTGTAATCCAGGTGCACCTCCAAGGATTAACAGGAAATGTCCAATTTGACCACTACGGCCGCAGAGTCAACTACACTATGGATGTTTTTGAATTAAAAAGTAACGGCCCCAGAAGGGTAAGTTGTCATTCTTTTCTAAAATATAGAAGAATTGACTCCAGAGCTTGTTTTTTTATATATATAATTTGTTATTATTATTAATATTATTATTATTATTATTAATAATAATAATAATAATTATTATTAATAATAATAATAATTTTTTTTTTCGTAACATATAAATTTGGGTGTACTAGTGTTTGGACCGTTATCGTAAATTGTTTTGGTAGATAAACTCCAGACTTGGCTTCAGTTCTGACTAATCTAATTTACAGTATTATGCACAAATATAATATTGTGTAGATTCCTATTAAAAATAAGAATTTAAATGAGAAATTTGTGAGGGGTGTACTTATATATGGTAAAAACTGTATGCTTCCACCAATGTCGAGAGCACATTGCACACTTGCTATACAGTATATGCTGTATATAAACATTTACTTTTGTAAAATAATTCAAAATAGAGAAATAAATAAAAAAATGTACAGTTTGGTGTTTGCAAGTGCTGCTAAAGTGAAGATTTATGGCCAAAAGCAGGAGAAAAAAAAGCTCATTTTGAAACAAAAACCCCGTTTAATTTTTTTTATTTTATGTATTATAATTAAAATCAACTGGCACAAATTGATAAAGTGCAACAAAATAACATAAAAAGCCTTATTTGGATGTTTTCTTAATAATAATTCAGTATTTAATGAAAAGATCTCAAAATTGAAATCCGTATAATAAAATAAGTTTTTGCCAGTGTCTTACCCTAAAAAAAATCCCAGTCAAGTTTTTCCTGTTTGTGTTTTTATTCAGAGAAAGTGTAATTATGGTTTGCTTTCTGTCTGTCTCATCTGTCGAGCATCATTTCAGTGTAATTCATTGTGTTTTGCGATGTGCTTAACGCTCTGTGCTTCACTTGATGCAGCTGTTTCTGCGAGATCAATCCCAGGAGACCCTGATGAGTCTTTATTATTTTATAGTCAGCATTTTCTTTTTGAACAATCTTTTACAGTACTTCACCGCATGCTCATTTCATGCATATATGCATCTCTTAACTTGGTGAAAATCGTGTTTTACAGCCATTTTAGATGACTTATAAGCCTGTATGCATCATTAAGGCTCTTGTAAATCATGGATGATGATTTTCATAGAAATGGACATTATTCTGCTCTGGATCTCCCACACAGTGTTTCCTGTCACCGTGCTCTGTTTTCTGCCCACGTCTGTATGACGGAGCGAGTAGGCTTTTTTTTTTTATGACCGTCTTGGCCCTGTGGGAATACTGTGTGGAAATTAAATGAATTATTCTGTATTATATTTAGTTAAATAACTGTCTCAGTGTTGGTGACGTTAAAGGGAGTTAGGCTATCATAGTTGAAGAAAAACTTAAATCATTGAACTAAAGTAATTTTTGTTCCTTTGGAATGAAATAAAAGATAACTAAGGATTAATACATGCAATCTAAAAATTATGTTTGCTGTTTGTTCAAACTACTTAAAATAAGCTGAAATAACACAATCCTTGTTTTTGTTTTCCAGACAAATTAATTGTTTGTTGTTTAATTCACTTATATTTGTGAAATCTAATAAGCTTACTTAAATCCTTTATGTTGTCGCAACACAAATCAATTGTGTGGAACCTATTTTCTACAATGTGTATATATATATATATATATATATATATATATATATATATATATATATATATATATATATATATATATATATAAATGTAAATTATTTTACATAAAGATGTGTATCATTTTCATTTAGTTAACACTTAAACTAAAATAAAAATGTAAACTAAACAGACCCGTTAAGAAAAATAATTACTAAAAATGGACAGAAAATAAATTCATGGAACTTAAGTCATTTTTGTACCTTTGGAATGAAATAAAAGTTAATTAAAAGGATTACTACAAATATTTTAACATGTTAATATTTTTTATATGAAGATTCGTATCATTTTTATTAATTTAATACTAAAACTAAAATAAAAATTGAAATTACTGTAAATGAAAAATATTTACTAAAAATGAAAATGGCAAATATGAAATAAAACCATTTCAAATTATTAATAGTATAGAATAATATTATTCATTTCATACAAATATATAGACAAATAAAAAAAACAACTATTAAAACACTACATTAAAGCTGAAAAACAAAGAAAAGCCCTAATAGAAAATAATAAATTCAACTGTTTACACTGGAAATGTACAAGTTTTCATAGTGTGACCTTTATCTATTAAGACTTTTATTTTATTTTATAAATTAAACTTTTATGAAATTTATCAAAAATGTTATATTATTGTTATGCACTTAATACTATAATAATATTAATGTTAATTCATTAATTAAAACCTACTAACTGCATTAATTAACATGTTATTTTTCTAATGTGCTGTAAATAGATGGAATTCAATTACAGTGGTCCCTCGTTAATAACGGGAGGTACATTCTTATAAATAACACACAATAGGTAATATCCGCAAAGTTGTCAGCTTAATTTTTCACTATTATTATAGCTGTTTAAAGAGCCACTATCATACATTAAAAAGGGTCATATTTTGATTTTAAGGGGCTCCAACAACAGCCTAATATGCATGCAAGGTCAAAAAAAAAAACACATTCATTGTCTTACAATGTGTATTTATTTTTACCTAATTATCCCAGTGACTCCCATATAAATCGTTCAGCGATTATATTTGTTCCCAAACCTCTCCTTAGTGCGTAGCTAATCTGCGCTGATAAGATTGATGACTGCCTGTTGCGATTGGTCGAAAGCGTTCAGCATGAGTGAAATGCCCAGCACGGCTTATCAACAATATTGAAGTAGTCAGAGTGCAGAGTGTATGTGTGATCATACCTGCCAACACTCCTGTTTTTCCCAGGAGTTTCCTGTTATTCATCCCATAAAACTTCCGTAATTTCAACCACCCCCACCCCCTGGTCCTCAGCATTTTGGTACGATCTGTGAAACCCCCGGGTCGCCAACAATGGCATAGGATCCGATCACAGTGGCCGCCCAAAACACACTTCGCAGTAGTTAACTTACTAACACCACAGTACACAGTACCCAGTTCTCAACAGTGTTAGTCAGACACCTCACCCCCAAACCTAACCACACTACATGGAAGGTTATTTTCAAAAACCCATAATAAGGGGCTCTTTAAGTCTGTAAAACCCTTCACTACATTATTTTCTCAAATAAGCAATAACATTTTCACACTTTTCTCTCTTATTTAAACACTCTCGTAAGTTCTGCCTTCCTTTAGCATATCCCGAAGTCCAACTTTTTGTGCAATGGCTAGCATCTTCCTCTGCCTTTTGGGTGGTACCGTGGGTGCCTTTGATGATGCAGAATGTTTCGTCGACATTGTGGGGTTTGTTGGGGAGAAAACTTGCTAACATACAGTACAGTACAGTACTTCAGGGTCACACTGCTAGCAATCGATGATTTATGTCAATTTGGCAAGCTGAAAGTATTCTGTACTGTACAACAGACACGGCACGGAAGAGATTGATTGACAATGGTCTACAGCCAATCAGGAAGCAGAACACAATGCGCTGTAAAAAAGCATGTCAAATTGCACAAAAAAAAAATCTGCGAGACCGCTAAAGGTGAAATCTGTTATGACGAGGGACCACTGTAAATTGTAACTGAATTGTGTAAGATGTAATACAGAACAGCTTGGAAATAATACACCAAGGTCAGCCTTGAATGGTCTGGTGGTTTTAGCATCAGATCTCTGTATGTACCATAAAGTCTGCTGTCACACACCTTCTTCTGGAGTTATGAGGAGCCTCTGCTTTATGGAGTGTTGAGCAGGGCACCGGGGGAAAGACTGATGGGCACAGGAACGAGCCGCCAGCGGTTGACACTCATTTATCAGGCGGTCGTGAGCCCCGCTTGAGGCTCTTCCTTCTGCCGTTCAGCTGGGTCCTGTAAGGACACGGGCACACACAGGCTGTCTGACTGTTATTCACCCCACAGCCAAAAACATACATGCAGAGATGCCGAAACAACAACATTCATCTTTAGGGTCTTCATGAACACTTTACAAACAATACATTTATTTTGAAAATACTCTCAGTTTGGGGTCTGTACGATTTTAAAAGTTTCTTCTGCTCACCATAGATGGGCTTTTTTTTTTTCATATTTTATGATATGTTCTATATTATGCTGCTTCAACACAATCTACATTGTGAATGTGATATAGAAATAATGATTAGTTGATTTTTTTTTGATAGAATGTTACAAAAATATAAGATTCATTTGATATATTTACTCACAACTATGGACAAAATTTAAAAACCACTTTGGAAATTCTTAGTTTGTTTTCTAAATTCTACACTTTGTTCGAGTAAACTAATTTTGTAAAGTGAAACTTTTTGCAATATAAAATAAAAATTTATGTTAAAATGTGCCATGTTTTTAGATTCATTTGTGGCTATTTTTAGACAGCACAATACAAATGTTAATTTAAGAAATCAGTATTTGGTGGAAAAAATCACTCATTTACATTTCATTGGGGGAAAATTTATAGTATTTAAATTTTAAATTTTGAATAAATGTTATCAGACATTTATAGAATAAAAAACTCTCAAACCCTTAGATACTAATTCCAGAATATCCAGAGAAGCTAAAAGTTTTCATGTCATCTCCTATTTCTTTAATATATTGCAATATTGTAATTGAATGAAATGATTTCTTGATTTTTCCTCATTTCTGTTTTTCTTTTCTTTTAACTTTACCAATCCCAAAGTTTTGAACAATGCTATACTTTAAAATGGCCTTAAACATATTTCACTTCAAAATAAATGACATGTTGTTCCAAACCCAGTTGACTTAATTTCTTTGGTAAAGAAACAAATATATTTTAAATGTATTTTTTCAAGCTGTTATTTTCAGACCCCATTGACTATTAATCTGCAGATCAGTTGTCAAAGGATTATAATTTTTCTTAATTGCTTTGGTACATTTTTCATAACAGTCTTAACATTCTCTAAACTGTGAGTGCAAATGTCAAAACTGTTTGCTGGAACTTCAGAACTTTATTGCATGTCTGCAAAATGTAGTTACTCCCCAAAACATTTAATGCATGCTTCAAAACCTAGTTATTGTGTCAGTAATTTGGCCAAGACCACCAAAACATAAAGTGTATTTGTCATTGTGTGAGCCACACTGCTCAAAATGATTAGTTGGTTATTCACCATGACAATCATGGAAAATTAAGATTTTAAAAATCTGATATTTGTTGAGAAGAATAAATAGTACATAGGAAAAAAATAAATGAACATTTGTATTTATACAGCACATTTATTTATGTACAAATGTATTACATGCAAAGTGCAGTCTTGCTTGTCCAATTGCTGTATTGTATATTTCATGTTGTGATATGGCCAAAGCACCCTGCAGCCCAAGACCATTTACTCACAGAAGCTAAGCAGGGCTGTGCCTGGTCAGTACCTGGATGGGGGACCACATAGGAAAACTATGTTGCTTTTGGAAGTGGTGTTAGTGAGGCAAGCAGGGGGGTGCTCAACTTGGGATCTGTTAATTCCTAATGCCCCATTGAAGTAAATGGGTCACTATATTGTCAGTGAGTGCCGTCTTTCGGATAATATGTTAAACCGAAGTCCTGACTCTCTGTGGTCTTAAAAATCCCATTGCATTTTTCGTAAAGAGTAAGGGTGTAACCCCGGTGTCCAGGCTAAATTCCCTCTCAGCTCTTAACCACCATGGCCTCCCAATCATCCCCATCCGCTGAATTGGCTTTAATCAGCCTATAGCTGGTGTATGGTGAGCGCACTGGCGCCGTTGTGCTATGGCCGCTTTCGCATCATCCAAGTGGATGCTGCACGCTGGTGGTGGTGTTGAGAGATATCCTCATGATTGAAGCACTGTATGGCCATACACAATGAATGGTCATACACAATAAATGCACTATATGGCCATACACAATAAATGCGCTGGATGGCCATACACAATAAATGCGCTATATAAATACACATTACATTACATATTTCTTAGAAATGATAAGAATTAGAAATGAGGTATTAAATGAGTTATTAAAACTATTATGTTTAGAAATGTGTTGAAAAAAATCTCTTAGACAGAAATTGGGGGAAAAAACAGGTGCTAATAATTCAGGGGGGCTAATAATTCTGACTTCAACTGTATATGCATGTTACCAAACTTGACTGATAAATAGATAACGCAAATTGTATTGCAACTAGAGGTCATTTACCAATTTAGCAAGCATTACAAAAAATGGCAATACAAATACAAATGTTTGGTAATTGAATAAAGTTTTTCTTGATTGCTTTGATCCAGCCGTAAACTAAAACTCCACATTTTCAAAACAGTTAACACTCAGGCCTAAACAGCGAACTCATGGTCAAAATGACATATTTTGCTTGCAAAAAGCACATACCGTTTTAAATGTGCAACAAAAGTTAGTTTTACCTTCAAACAACACAACTTGCAAACAAGTATATGAGCTTTTTCAATCAATCATTACACAATGGACAATAAAACACAAAATACAGAACTCAGTGTGAATCAGTGTACTATTGCTTGCCATTGTAGCCTATTGCCAATGCCATTTGTTGTCTTTCTATTTGGGCTGTCAAATTTGCCTTTTTGCGAAGAATTGGATCCAGAACTGTGGCTGAAATCTGAAATGCTTAAAAAAAACAGACAAAAAGTAATAAAATAGTGTAAATATTAGAGAAAACACATGTAAACCAATATACAGTCAAATCTATTGGGAGTATAGGACATAGCCACTATTTACCTTCTCCATCCATGCTGGCACAGAACACAGACCTTCCACTGTATAATATTTGATGTTTTCAGACTGATTGCTAATTAAAGATTTGTGTGAAGGAGTGTCAAACCGGTGCTTCAGTGAATTCATACTGATCTTGGTAGTTTTGTTAGGAATAGATGGTTTCTATTTGGTTACCATAGCTTAAACAATAGAGTTTGGACTGCTTGAATGACATCCGTGTTAACTGTTTTAAAAAATGGTGGGGAAAATGTGTCAACACAATGTGAAAGGGTTTACACATATGCAAGACATGTCTTCTGCTTTGCTGGGATAGTGATAATGAAAATGAAGTGGAACCTAGTTTAACTTTAACCAGGTTAAAGCAAACAAGAAAAACTGTAAATTGATTTGAGTTTGGTGGCACAATAAAAAATTATTGAGAAGTTGTGAAGAGTTTGACAGTTTAAATGAGAATCGGCTCATCGGTTTTGATCAACAGCGCCATACACAGTTAGTTTTTATCCAAACTACAGACAGTTGTACTTACTGTTTGCAGACATGTGCCAAAGCATTTGCAATTTACCTAAATCAATAGGACTTGCCACTCTGAAGTAAACAATAAGCTAATTGTCCAGAAATCTAAACTTATTGTTTTGAAAATTAAAAATTTAAATCGAGAATTGAGCCAAAGCATTTGAGGAAAAACTATAATAGTTTAGCCCAACTTAGTCATCACATTATTTACACACATTTACATACACTTACCCATATGGAAATGCTTGCATGTGTTCAATTGCTCTCAGTTGGGTCTGGATTCTCATTCTCACGCTTGTCCCGTCTCCAGATCGGATACTGGAACGATGCTGATAAACTGGTTCTGACCCAGGATCACGCCTTGCTTCCCAACGAAACGTCTGGCATGGAGAATCGAACCGTAATTGTGACGACTATCATGGTGAGTAGCAGCCTTTCCTGACACACTTTTTAACAATAACACAACCTGTGGTGTTTGTCCTTCATCTGAAAGCTTCCATTTGCCAAGAGCTCCTCTCATACACATGGCGGGGGAAAAAATATGCACATTTCGCAGTGAATTTCTTCATAACATGCACACACACAAAGATACAGATCTGCAAATGCTGCAGAAAAATCTCAAAAGCTGATCCGTGCTGTTCATCAAAGCACTCTTTTTTTTCTTTCCTCTGTACGACCTGTCAATCATACTGCTGTCCATTCAGATAAACGTAATGCTCTTTTATGTGTGTTAAATAGCATCTCTCAACAGTGCTGTGTAAATGTGTGCTGCCATGGCATTGTGAATAAGCCGTGTGCATCATCTGCCTTCCTCACGTGTACTGTCCCCCCCCCCAAAAAAAAAGTGACCCGTCTTGGACTCGTCTCTATGTTGTTTTGCTCATTAAACACTGCATGACTGGGAAACATTCTGTATTAGGAGAGAGTGTCTTCCATGTATATACAGGGGACATTGAGAAACATATTTGCTAAATGCTAAGGTTTTGGAGTGTCGCAGCTGAAGCCAAATCCTCCTCTTTTCAGCCGCTGGTGAGGAACCCCTTATTAAGAAACTGAGCAGCCAACGGAAGAGCTCACTGAAGCGCGGACAGACAGAGAGACAAATCAGAACTGAGGGCAAAAACATGGAAACCGCTACCTGAGCCTAAATGAATGCCACAATGAGAAATGGAGCCGTCGCAGAGACAAAGACAAGCTCTAATAAGCAGCTCGATCATGAGTGGAGAAGACCTGTAGGGATGCAGGATTGGAAAACTGGATGGATTCATGGAAGTCTTTTTTTTTAGCATTTATATCACATGTGCTGAAATAGAAGGGCAAGGTTTTTACAGCATGCTGAATTTGAATATGGCATATTGTATATGAAATCATGATTGCTGTTTATTGCGTTCATTATGATGTCTCCATTAAGATATCGTGGACATTCTTTGAAATACAAGTTTTCTAGTATGCACTCTTAAAAATAAGGTTCTTTATTAGCACCAATAGTTCCATTTACAGTTGAAGTCAGAATTATTAACACTCCAGAATTATTAGCCCCCCTGTTTATTTTTTCCCCAGTTTCTGTTTAACGGAGAGAAGAATTTTTCGACACATTTCTAAACATAATAGTTTTAATAACTCATTTCTAACTGGTTTATTTTATCTTTGCCATGATGGCAGTAAATAATATTTGACTAGATATGTTTCAAGACACTTCTTTATGGCTTAAAGGGGCTAATAATTTTGTCCTTAAAACTGTTTTTTTAAAAATTAAAAACTGCTTTTATTCTAGCCGAAATAAATCAAATAAGACTTTTTCTAGAAGAAAAAATATCATCAGACATACTGTGAAAATGTCCTTGTTATGTTAAACATTATTTGGGAAATATTTAAAAAAGACAAAAAAAATCAAAGGGAGTTTAACAATTCTGATTCCAACTGTAGAAAGGGATAGTTCATCCGAAAATGAAAAATTACCCATTATTTGCTAACTTTCAAGTGGTTACAAACCTTTGAGTTTTTTTTTTTTGTTGAACATTTAAGATATTTAAAAAAAAAGCTGGAAACCTGTAACCATTGACTTTCATAGTAGAAAAAAAACAAATATCATGGAATTCATTAGTTACTGTAGAAATTTCCATCTGTCTTTAAAATGTTCAATGAGTTCAATGAAAGAAAGTCAAACAAGTTTGCAACCAGTAAAAGGTGAGAAAATGATGGCAGAATTTTCAATTTCGTGTGAACTATCCCTTTGCCACCCATTTGTTTTACAGTGGAAATATGTTCTTTAGACTATTAAAATGTTGTTTATACTAAGAAAAAGATAATACTTTTATGAACTGATCAATGAATGGTTCAACAAAAGTGCACACAAAGCACCTCTAGTCATTTCTATGGCATCTCTGTGGGACAAAAATAGTTAAGTTTAAAAGTGTACTTTACATTACATTTACAATAGCAGCAGAATTTAAAGGGTCCATTAAAATTGATTCTTGTTTTCTTCCAAACCTTTATGACTCTCTTCTGTGGAGCACAAAAGATGTTTTTAAGAATGTTCACAATGCTTATTTTCTATATATTGCTGAAAAATATAAAAGCAGACTTAGCAGTGTACTTAAAATTTTATATTGTCAGAGAAATAAATGTAGCTTGGTCAGTATTCACTTTCATTGTGTGGAATAAAGAAAGTTGAATATACTTTGGAGATAAATAGGGAACAAAGACTACTAAAGCACCGTGAACATTTAATAAAAGCAGTCCAAAATAATTATAATGGCAAATAAAACCATAGAATGACATTTGACTTGATATATGTTCACAACTATTGTGTGTTAAAGAAAAGCCAAGCATGCAAAGAAGGTGAATGTGCATTAGAGAACGAAAAAACATTTAGAAAGTATCATAAAAGAAGACCAAAAATATTTTTTCTCTATTTCAACTTCTGAAATGCCACAGAATAAAATTGAACTTGGTCTCCACTCCCAACTTATTTCAATGTAGATAATTACAATAAAGGTGAGTGATGACTAAAGAAAGTCTAAAAAAGTGTTATAAAAAAAACATAATAAAACGGTTTAAAGTTTGAGCAAAATTCACTTTCAATGTACAAAAAGGAGCTGCTTGATTATTATGGCAAACTGTCTCTTTTTGTATTCCAATGAATTAAAGTAAGTAATGGCTAGGAAACTGTGAAACTATAAACAGATTTATAGCCCACCATTTAGTCTATTTATTTACTTGTTTGTAAATTTATATTTATTGAGTTTTTAAATTAATTTCAGTGATATTATTGACTAAGATGAAAATGTTCATTTGATTTATTTAGAATACAGTTTGTAAAGTAATATTATCTGTCTTGTAGCAGATATATTATAAAAGACACTTGTTTTGTGTACCAAATAAGTGTATCTAATCGGATTTGCATTGTAAACATTAAATAAAAGTAAAGAAATTATTATTTTTTATTTCATATATTAAGTTTTTAGTTATGATACTCCCAAAATCATTTCACACAAATTTACAGATGGTTTACAAAATTCTTCACATAAATAACAAAAAAAAGTCTACAGGTTGTGTCTGGTTCTAGTCATGGGTTTTGAATCTCATATGACATTTAGATCGTTTCCATTTTAAGATGAATAATCGCTTTAGGTTTCTAAGTAGTGAGTGATAAAGAATTGATGTGGTCTTTGTAAGAACATGATTTTGCATGACTGCCTCATGACGCAAGAATAGAGATCACCCGCGCTCGAGGCGTTACCTGCTACAAACACTACATCCTTTTATTTCCATTTTTACCTGTAGAAAAACACTGCCCAGGAACATCGCGCTGCCCTGAGCTTGTGAAAAAAGATTGGAGGAGAAGGCTGCATTCTCATACATCAAACAAATTTGAGATGAAACGGATCTTCCGTTGACATTCAGTGCGGAGAGCTCTATTTGCTGTGTGTGAAATATTTAATTCTCCCTACTGGGCTTTCTGCCTTTCATCATTTTAGCCTAGCCATATGGCTTAGGAAATATTTGTAAAAGGAAAGCAAGTTTTCAGGATTTTTATGTAAATGCTCTGCCGGCTGCTTGCAAGTAAACATTTTTATTTGCTGCTGTACGGCACCTGTATTGTGTTAGATATTGTTTGTTGTGACGGTACATCATGCTGATGACTAAAATGACCGTTTGTGTTTGCGGTGTGGGTTTTTCTGAGCTACTTTTTGCTTCTGAACTGTAGCACCAATGTGCTTTAGCCATAATGTGCTGTTTGGCTTGCAAAGCAATTTAAATAAATTGTGGAGATGAATTTTATGAGTCAGTTATTATTGCTTTGAAACATGTACAATACACAATGCACGTTTTGGGTGCTTTAATGCTTGTATGAACCATTTATTTGATTATTTAAAAACCCTTCAAAAATGTGTTTCTTATTTTCTTAAAAAAAAATTATGTCTGGTTTCTAGTCCAAATATCTAAAAATAATTAAATCCAAAAGCATTTTCTAGAAAAACAAATAGAGTGTCTTGTTAAGGAATAATATGTCAAAATTAGGCTAGTTTTGTCTTAAAACAAGCTAAATAGTCTGCCAATGGGTTATGCAAAATATTCTTATGTCAAAATGGAAAAACAAGATTATTTGGCAGATTATTTTGCTTGTTTTAATGGGAAAACTGACTTAATTTTGAAATTATTTTTGAAAACGAGACAATATTTTTTGTCAAGAAAATGCTTCTTGATTTAAGAATTCCTAGATATTTGGACTAGTAGTGAGACTAAAATCTTTTTTGTATTGAAAGGTTTTTATGTGGCTAGCATCTTGTTAGCACATGCAAACTTAATGAACTTTATAGGTCAGTTTACATTGCTTTGAAGCATGTACAATACACAATGCACGTTTTGGGTGCTTTAATGCTTGCATGAACCGTTTGTTTGACAATTAAAACACTCCAAATATGCTATTATTTTTTTGTCTGGTTTCTAGTCCAAATATCCAAAAATCTTAAATCAGCATTTTCTAGACAAACAAATAGAGTGTCTTGTTTTAAGGAATAAATATGTCAAAACTAGGCAGGTTTTTCTTTAAAACAAGCTAAATAATCTGCCAATAGGGTATTCAAAATATTCTTATGTCAAAATGAAAAACAAGATTATTGGGCAGATTATTTAGCTTGTTTTAAGTGAAAAACTCACTTAATTTGACATACTCTCTGAAAACGAGACAATATTTTTTGCTTGTCTAGAAAATGCTTCTTGATTTAAGAATTCCTAGATATTTGGACTAGTAGTGAGACAAAAAAACTTTTTTGCAGTGAAAGGTCTTTATAGGGCTAGCATTTGATCAGCACATGCAAACCTAATGAATTTTATATGGTAGTTTTTATTGCTTTGAAACGTACAACACACAATGCACGTTTTGGGTGCTTTAATGCTTGTATTAACCCTTTGTTTGATAATTCAAAAGCTGCAAAAATTATTTTCTTACATTTTTTTGTTGTTGTTGTTGTCTGATTTTTAGTCTAAATATCTAAAAATGATTAAATCTGGAAGCATTTTATTAACAAACTAAATATTGTCTTGTTTTAAGGAATAATATGTCAAAATTAGGCTAGTTTTTCCTTGAAACAAGCTAAATATTCTGTCAAAGTATTCTTCTGTCAAATAGAAAAAAAGCTAAATTATTTGGCAGATTATTTTGCTTGTTACTCACTTAATTTTGATATATTATTTCTGAAAACGTGACTATTTTTTGCTTGTCTTTTGCTTGAAAATTCCTAGATATTTGGACTAGAAATAAGATATAAACTCTAAGTAAGAAAAGCCTTTTTTGCAGCGAAAGGTTTCTACTGTATATGGCTAGCATTTGATTAGCACATGCAAACCTAATGACTGTAATTATCTTTTTATGCCTATGTGACATTTCAATACTTGTATGAACCCTTTGTCATGGTTTCATAAAGCCTTTGTGATACTTTAAATGTGCTTGATAATACTTAAAGGAATGTGAGGACATGTTGACTTATGTTAAAGGGAAAAAATGATATTTTCATTGTTTCTTTATGGCTTTAATTATCTTTATATGATTTATGGGATATTTCAATACTTGTATAAACCCTTTGTTATGGTTCCATACAGCCTTTGTGAAATTTTAAAAGGGTTTGATAATACTTTATTGAGGAATATGAGGACATGTTGACTTTTATGTAAAAAAACTATATTTATTTTCATTGTTTTCTTATGGCTAGCATTTGATAAGCACACGCAAACCTATAATGACTGTAATTATCTTTATATGCCTTATGTGATATTTCAATACTTGTATGAACCCTTTGTTATGGTTTCATAAAGCCTTTGGGATATTTTAAAAGTGTTTGATAATACTTTATTAGGGAATGTGAGGACATATTGACTTATGTTAAAGAAAAAACTATATTTTCATTGTTTCTTTATGGCTAACATTTGATTAGTACATGAGAACATAAAGACTGTAATTTATGTTCATTAAGATCTAAAAAGCAGCTTTGTTCGTCTATACCTTCACAATAAGTCATATTTGAAATGTATAGCAGGTTTACAACCACTTTGAACATGTTTGTTTTGTTTAGAAGTGTGACATGCTGCCCATTGAAAGTGCTCTGTTTTGTTCATTTAGGAAGGGCCGTATGTAATGCTGAAGAAAAACTGGGAAATGTACGAGGGGAATGAGCAATATGAGGGATACTGTGTGGATTTGGCATCTGAAATTGCCAAACACATCGGTTTCAAGTATAAGATCTCCATCGTGCCTGATGGAAAGTACGGAGCTCGAGACCCAGAGACTAAGATCTGGAACGGGATGGTCGGGGAGCTGGTGTACGGGGTAAAGCATTTTCCTTTTTTGCAATTGTCTGACATTAGCATTAGATTTATAAATGACATTTGATTGTTTGATGGACATGCTTAATATTGGCTGTTTTGCCATTCATTTCTTGTTTTAATGCTTTCCTAAAATTTTTCCTAAAATCTCCCGTAATTTAAAATGTTTGAGGTCAGTGTGATTGATTGATTGATTGATTAAGATATTTATACGATAATTCAGCAATAATTATTTGTTTTATTTTAACAAAAGTAAAGCCACCTTTCCAATGCACATGACAAACGACAAGCGTTAGACCGGAAGTCATTCATTTCCAATGCAGAGGAGTCCGGGAGCTGCGTGGAGCTCCGATCATCTCCGTATGCTGAAAATTCTGATCCGATTTGAGCTGCGACTCAAAATAAAAATAAAATATTAATAAAATAAAATATTAATTCTAGAAATAAAATAACTCCCGCGACTAGACCGTATGCGACTGGACGACCGGATGTGATGTATTCCAGTGTTGTCTTAGCAGGTCTGTGCGCACGAGATGAGTAATAGGAGTTTTCCGTAATTTTTTAAAATCAGAACAAAGTCTATATTAAAAAAAATTATATTCATAAATAAGTAATAATAATATTCTTTTTAATCTTGTCTCCACATTCCCTCCAAAACTTTTAGCAGTCTATGATGAGTTTCCAGTAATCATAAATTCATTCATTCGTTCAGCCATGGTGAACACACGTAGAAAAAATGCTCTTGCATTTGCACTCTTATTTCGCACACCAACACGAGAATCAGCTTCCCATTGTGCATGACAAAACTGAATATTCAGTGCGACTGCCACAAGGGGGCTTATTCTGACAGTCGTGTCGGAATGTATTGTGCAGCGGAAATGCTGCTTAATAGTTATTCATAACAACAGATACACTGTTTAAATTAAATGTTACTTTAAATTAAGTATAGAACTTTCACAATGAAAATCCCCCCAAAATTATTTTAATATCGTTCAAACATATTTTATATGTTTGCTGAGCAGCAGATCATAATATTAGAATGATTTCTGGAGGATCATGTGACACTGAACACGGAAAATTGAGCTTTGTGTTTTAAAATACAGTTTAGAAACAAATCAAGAGATCTGTTGTTATCTCTGAATTTACTGTGTCTGTTAGGTATGGGTTTGAGTAAAAAATTAGCAGTTGTTGTTTTATCTGCAAAAGTCTGATGGTATTTCTTCCAAATTTAATTACATAATTATAATAAACTGAGAAAGTTGTCTCCTCATTTCTGCCATATCTGTATATTAAAATACAAATGTTTTAATTAAAAAATGGGTAAGACTTTATTAAGGTACAAATCTAGTTATTAATAAACCATTAACTATTACTTCTGACTCAGTAAAATTCTAATTTGCTCCTTATTAATTGTAATGGTAGTAGGTAATAATTAAAGTAGTTAAATAATTAAAGTACAGCAGGATAAGAGATGTACAATAAGATCATACAGAAAATGTACTTTCCTATTCTAATAATATGCAGGGAATTAAACCACTAGTTAAAGAGGATAGTTCACCCAAAAATTTTAATTACCTCATCATTTACTCTCTCTCGTGTGGTTTTAAACATTTACAGTATGAGTGTCTTTCTTCTGATATTTTAAAGAATGCTGTTGCTGCACCTATTGACTTCCAGAGAAGGAAATAAACAAGTACTATGGAAGTCAATGGGTCCCAGCATCCAGCATTTTTCAAAATATCTTCTTCTTTGTTCAAAAAAAGAAAAAAAAAGTGAACTTTGGTGAACTATCTCTTCAATAGTGAGAATTATTACTTTAACAAAAAAATGTATCAAACAAATGTAATATTATTTCACAATTATATATGTATGATGTATATGTGAGAATAAATTGTCAGCTTTCACTGAAAACTTTAAGTTGTTTCTGGTGGAGAAAAAAGAAAGAAAAAGAAAGACAAGAACCTTTAAGAGGCTTTAGACGTTTATTAATGACCGCTGCTTACAGCCAGTGTCATTTTGTAGATTTTGCTGAGCACTAGAAAACACACAAGCCAAAGTTTTGCTTTCCTCTTGAAAGTGTCGACCAGTTATGAGAAACTTTAATTTCTTTTTTGGATTAGTCGTGCACAGCCCTGCTGAGGCCTAAAGTGTCACTAAGTCACCAACAATAATCTAGTTTTTGGATTTACCGTGCAGCAAAACGTGCAGCCTGACTTTAGACTCTACAGTCTGCTTTGTGCTGTAAGCATCTTTTTTTTTTTTTGCATTGATTAGTTTATCCCTCTCCACCAAACACAACCTCAGTATTAAGCCTTTTGGATTAACTTCTTGGATTTTTTGGCATTAATATGCAAAGCCTTGTTCAATTAAAGAAGTTGTACAATATGATGTGAGGAGAAGTAGGAATCAGCAGATTGTGCTTTGTTATGTTTCTCTTTTCATTCTCCTCTTAGTACAGCATTAAAATAACTGAAAATGTGAAGATATGAAATGCCAGCAAATATTTACTGTATAAACCCAGCTAAGTCATTATGTATGTTTTGCTTTTAAACAAGTTTGCATAGCTAACTCTCGTGTGATTAAATATCAAGATTGATACGAAGCACACTTTTTTTTCCAGAGAGAGGAAATTGCTGTGGCCCCATTGACAATCAGGTCACATTTTACAATAAAATTTCCTTACTCCATTTTAGTTCATTTGTTTATTAACATAAACTAATAATGAAAAATACTTGTACAGCATTTTTTAATCATAGTAAAATCCAAATTCATGCCTATTAGACCGTTGTTATTGCAAATTACTACACTGCTGTCTGTAATACTTGATTCTAATTGGTCAAACATTCCAAGGTATGCTATTCCCAGATAACAGCCGCTGAAACTAACAGCACAGGCTCATCCAGGTACTTCAAATTATCTTAACCGTCAATAAATATCTATACTTATATACTAGTCTGTCCTGCCACTGTTTTTGACTTTTTGGCTCCATCATGTAACCAAAAATGTGTAGGTTAGTGTATGCTCCACTCAGCTGTTTTCATTTCTGTCAGGTTTGTGTTTATTTAAAGAACTATTACAAGTCTGAACAATGTTTTGTGTTTAATTTTTACGTTGTTGTATTAAGTAGCCTTGTAGTAAGTGGGGTAAAGTAAATTTAGGTGGTTGTTATTGAAGAATAAAGCACACTAACCACTCTACACTGTCTATCTTTTATTTCTAGAAAGCGGAAATCGCTGTGGCCCCATTGACTATAACTTTGGTCCGGGAGGAGGTTATTGACTTCTCGAAACCCTTCATGAGCTTGGGCATCTCCATCATGATCAAGAAGCCTCAAAAGTCCAAGCCGGGTGTCTTCTCCTTCCTGGACCCACTGGCCTACGAGATCTGGATGTGCATCGTGTTCGCCTATATAGGCGTGAGCGTGGTGCTCTTCCTGGTCAGCCGCTTCAGCCCGTATGAGTGGCACACCGAGGAGCCCGAAGAGGGCACTGACGGTCTGCCCAGCGACCAGCCCCCCAATGAGTTCGGGATCTTCAACAGTCTCTGGTTCTCACTCGGTGCCTTCATGCAGCAGGGGTGCGACATCTCGCCCAGGTAAGCCGACTCTTCTTGCGAGTAAAAACATTGAAATTAAAACCATTTCTCATATATGGTAATGTCTGATAGCTGAAGTAGTCATTGCTGTAGTTTCCATAGTGATTTGATGAAGTGTTTTGCCTGAGTCTGAATTAAAAAGCAGCCAAGTGGGAGAATTTGCATTAAAACTCACTGTTTATTCATTATGTCTGCTTTGAGTCTTTGGGAGAGGGGAACAGTCAGTCACAGTCATCACTAAGTACATTTACATGCACTCTTATAAACATTTAAAACTAAAAAATAAATACACAAAAAAGTTTTAAATCATTTAAATACTTTTTTCTACTATATATATATATATATATATATATATATATATATATATATATATATATATATATATATATATATATATATATATATATATATATATATATATATATATTAGGGGTGTAACGATACACTCAGCTCACGATACGATGTGTATCACGATATAATGTTCACGATTCGATATGTATCACGATATTTGGAATAAAAATTGAAAATTAAACTGAAATGCAAATTTTACCAAGTAAACTATTTTTTATGTATTTCTTTTGTTTCAACTTGTTAAACTAAACCTTCTTTAAGAAAATAAATTAAACAGGCCTGTCTCTGGAAAATAAAACATTTTAAAAACTTCTTTAAAAATATTATTGAAATGACAGAGACAAAATTAAGGAACAATTTAAGTAAAGGTGCAAAAAAAAAAAGCTTTCTATTCAATTGAATTTAACAGTAAGAGCTTAAGGCTTTGCTTGGTCACTTGCGTTTTTTGTGTGTGCAAAAAAAATCCACATTTCCAGGTAATCAGCAGTTCTATAAGATAATCCTGAACTGATGTGTATCTGTCTGAGAGGTTTTTATGGATGGCTGTCTTCATGTTGGGCATAATGAGTGACAGGGTGGCCGTCTTTTTATTACACAGGACAGTCGTGACTCTTTTCAGCAGTTTAGGCAGGTTTACTATTTCTTCGGCGTCGCTGATGTCGGCGCTATCAAGTGTATCATGTTGACGTGCATTTTTGTGTACCTCTGTACTCAAAAGAGTTCATGCTCGTCGTAATCATAACTCTAAAATGCGATATGATTGTTTAAATAATGTGTACGTTTTCAGTTTCATTTCCACTGCTAAGTGCTGTTCATACTTTCCACGCGGCTCCTGAACGATCACTCTGTTCCACAAACTGAATGTTGTTTACTACTTTATTAGTCACAACCTGCAGGTTCTGTTCACTGAAGCAGACGCGCGCGTATGGCAAGCAGTTTTAGCATTTAAACCTTTGTTCTGACTATCCATAAATATATTTAATTCATATTTAATTAATTAATTTAGAGATATCTCTAATTACAATTGTGACTAGTCAAAACTCATTTAGAGATATCTGCAAATATTTTTCAATGGAAGTCAATGGAGGAATGACTAGTCATAATATATTTGCAGATATCTCTAATCTGATTTCGTACTAGTACAATTGTAATTGCAGATATCTCTAATTGTCATTCTGACTAGTCGAATTATAATTCGTCTGATTTTGACAGACGTCTGATTTTGAGAGGATGGGCCATCCTCTATTTCAGCTCCACTCATCTTGGTCTGCTAACATTACTGCTGCTGCAATCTGAACTCGCGTGCGACAGCAGGTGGAACGTAGCTCTCGTGCTAACAGCTCAACTAATAAGAGAAAACGGACGTTGTATCGTAATGAAATCGTCATAACGCCCTGATGCATATTGTGACATTTTTGCATCGCAATAAATCGTACAGCGATAAATCATTACACCCCTAATATATATATATATATATATATATATATATATTCTCAGTGACTTTTGAGTTTTACAGTATTACAAAAACTTTGTAAGCCCAACGCAATCTTAACCAATCCTGGTACTCTTCAAAAATAGTAATGGTATTAATCAAAGCATAATATCATTTTTTAGTTATACTGTACTATACTATTATACAATCATAATAGGAATACTATTATAACTTAACTATAAGTAAAGGGTAAAATAAATATATATCAACAAATATTAAAGTACATGTTTATAAAGAAGACAAATTTGATACAGTAACAAAAGTAGTGTGACATCTATTACTATCCTAGCATGGGATCTGTTTATATGTGAGGTTGAGAGAATATACTGTATGATGTTATTTAGAGAAAAAAAATCCATTTAAACACAAATTTGAGGAAGCGGAACATATATAAAGTAAACATATGTTTAATAATAAATGTATGTATAAAAATTAAAGCTAAAAAGATTTAATTTTACATTGTTTTTTTTTTTACTAGTTTGCTTAGCATGCAGTTTTTTAAATTAAAATAAAAAAAATTGAACAGACTTTGGACAGTAGCATACACTATGTATTTGATGATATTTTTGATTACATTTTTAGAACACAACCAGAGGTTGACCAATGTGCTGCACAATACTGTACACATCACAACAAAGAAAAATGTTAAATTATAGCTAAAACAAACAATTTTCATTGATAAAATGCCAAATCAAAGAGGTAAGTTTTCAACCTAGATTTAAAAATAGACAGAGATTAAACAGATCTAATCCAGAGAGAGCAGAGCATTCCACAACCTAGGACCAACTACTGCGAAAGCACGGTCACCTCTACATTTCAGCCTCGACTTACGCCCCCATTTACACATAAGTTAGAGACCTAAAAATTAAGAGAAGTGACTCAGTGCATAGTCAACCAGTGCAAAGAGCGTAAAACTGGTGTAATGTGGTCGTGTTTTTTGGTACCTGTTAAAAGCCTTGCAGCAGCATTTTGAACTAATTGTAAACGTGATAAGGTTGTCTGACTAATCCCAAAGTGAAGTAAGTTACAATAGAAACCATAAAAAATAGTTTAGGATTTTTTTTTTTTAAAAAAACACTTTTTAGTAGATTAAATATACGTGATGTTTTTGTATCAGTACATGATATAATGATAGCTTCTTCACAAAAGACTGCAAAATCTAGGTAAAGTGACCTTCCGATTAGATTTGAAATGAATGTGTATGTGTTTATGTCCTTAAAGACAGCAGAGACCAAAATCATTCAAACACACAAACAACTCAACTTAATGGAGCGCATGTGAGTGTACTTACTGATATGATCATATTCCATGTATATGTACAATAGCTAGCATCAGTTTTAAAGTGACATTTCACCCAAAAATAAATAAGGTCATTCTATCCGCTTTAAAAAGAGATTTTAAAGAAACATTCTTATTCTTTACTCTGTTTAAGAGGGTTTAACACACTTAAAAATAAAGGTTCTTTATTTGCATCAGTGTTTCCATGAAAAGCCATTTATAATGCAGCACCTTTTAATTCCCCATAAGACTCAAATCTCAAATCTGAAGACAATAAATTAAAACCTAAAGAAAATAAATATATTTTTAATAACTCTTTACTTAAAGTTTCTTTGAATATTTGAAAATGGCTCTACTATGGCGTTGCTGCAAAAACAATGTTTTGGAGAATTTATTTTGAAGTGTGAACTCTGTTTTTGGACCCTACTGATGTTGAAAAGTCTTAATTTTTGGGCAAATTATCCCTTGAACATATTTTACTCTGTATTTAAAACATTCCCCTTGTCTCACCTGTTCTACGGTAAGTAACTGAAATGTCACCCCACTTTGCACCCTGATGGATTTGGCCGTCATTGAAGTCAGTGTGGGGTCCTGGGTTCCCATGGACCAGTTCGATCAGTCATCCCTTCATTTCTCTGTGCCTCTAATGTCCGCACATGTCCGTCCGTCCTGCCGGCTAAATGTGAAATCTCACCGGAAATGTGGCAGTCATTCATCAGTTTGTTTTTGTGATTTGTCTCCTTCGCCTGCGGGGATTAACATCAGGCTCTCGCTCACTCACCTCCTCTTTTCTCTGTGTAATACACACCTGCATGACCACGATAGAGCTCTTTAAGAAGTGTTATCAAGAGAAGAGAAGAAAAAAAAAAACAGGCTTTATTTTTCAGCCCCCACCAGATAAGAAATCACTCATGACAGGCCAAGAGGAAGAGAAGAGCGGTAAAAAGCACAGCTCTTGGAGGAAAACAGCAGGTACTTAGAGAGCCGTCAAAACCATAGCGTCTATCGCTTCTGCTCTATAGGCTGTGAATCGCAGCGCTGTAGAGGACCTATGGTTTCCATTTAGGTCTTATAAGTATCATGCACTTCATCTTTTTTTGCATATAACTAATAAAGATTCATGAGTTGGATTGGAGCCAATGGTAAACGCCGGGAGGAAAAAAAGCACTTCCATTCATTTTCTTTTGTCCATGCCATTAATTCTCTTTAGTCAGCATGTGCCTTTAGCTCAGTGTTCTTGATTTAGACGAGATGACGCAGTTGCTCAGCAGCGTTACTCGGGTGTTGGTACTTGTCCTTTCCTCCTCCTCACTGTCTGATAGCCTACTGGTTATTCAAATGTGCAGATTTGCTTTCTTTTTCATGTGCACTTGATAGTTTTATGCATATTTAATACATGAAGTGTGTTGTCTTTTTCAGTACTTTCTTAATCTTATATAGCAATTCTGCCCATTTTTTTTACTTTTATTTATTTGATTCAATTTTTAGGGATATTTTTAACCCTCTTTTTATATAGCATAGTAGAGCCAAAATCATTAGTCAGAGGATGGATTATAACGTATGAAAGCCGTTTTCAAATCGTGGTCTGGTAACTTTCCAGGCTGTTTGTGTTTGAGAGAAAATAAAAATATTCAGCTATTTGCATTTAGTGCATTGTAATAGTAAGAAATCAAAAAACGAATATGCATGTACACTACTGGTCCAAAGTTTGGGGTCAGTTTTTTTTCATGTTTTTTTTTTTAAGAAAATTATCAAGGCTTATCAAGGCAGCATTTATTAAATGTAAAAAAATAAATAAATTGTTAAATTTTTATTACAATTTTAAATAACTGCTTGCTTATTTTATGTAGTTTCAAATGGAAATATTACTCCAGTGATT